TCTATCAAGTCTGAGAGAGGAGGAAGCTGCAAAAGAAACGTCTGAAGCGAGCAGAGGTGGTTCATGAGGTTTAAGGAAAAACACCGTCTCCATAACATCAACGTGCAAGGGGAAGCAGCAAGTGCTGATGTAGAAGCCGCCGCAATTATCCAGGAGATCTAGCTAGAGCATTACTGAGGGTGGCTACACTAAACAACAGATTTTCAATGTAGGTGAGACATTCTTATATTAGAAGATGCTGTCTAGGACTTTCATAGCTAGAGAGAAGTCAATGCCTGCCTTCAAAGCTCCAAAGGACAATCTGACTGTCTTGTTAGGGGCTACTGCAGCTGGTGACTTTGAGTTGAAGCCAATGCTCTTTTCCTATTCTGAAAATCCTGGGGGTCTTAAGAATTATGCTAAATCTACTCTGCATGGGCTCTATAAATGGGACAACAAAGCCTGGTAACAGCATGTCCATTTACACTATGGCTTACTGAATATTTTATTTACTTACTTTTATTAATTTTTTTTTAATGTTTATTTTTGAGAGAGACAGACAGAACATGAGCAGGGGAGGGGCAGAGAGAGAGAGGGAGACACAGAATCTGAAGCAGGCTCCAGATTCTGAGCTGTCAGCACAGAGCCCAACACGAAGCCCGAACTCATGGACTGCGAAATCATGATCTGAGCCAAAGTCAGACACTTAACTGAGCCACCCGGGTGCCCCGGTTAACTGAATAAACTGAGGGTTTAGAGTTTAAACCCCCTAAACTCTGGGTTGAGACCTGCCACTTAGAGAAAAATATTCCTTTCAAAATATTACTGCTCAGGGACAATGTACTTGGTCATCCAAGAGCTCTGATGGAGACATACAATGAGGTGAATGTGGTTTTCATACCTGCTAATACATCGATACTGTAGTCCATGAATCAAGAAGTAATTTCAACTTTCAAATCTCATTATTTAAGAAATACATTTTGTAAGGCTATAGTTGCAAAAGATAATGATTCCTCTGATGGATCTGGGCAAAGTCCGTTGAAAACCTTTGGAAAGGAGTCACCATTCTAGATGCCATTAAGAACATTTGTGACTCATGGGAAGAGGTCAAAATATCAACATTAATAGGCATCTAGAAGAAGTTAATTCCAAAGTCATGGATGATTTTGAGGGGTTCATGACTTCAGTGGGGGAAGTCACTGCAGATGGGGTGAAAACAGCAAGACAGCCAGAATTAGGAGTGGAGCCAGAAGAAGTGACTGAATTGCTGCAGTCTCAGGATAAAACTTGAACAGAGGAAGAGTTGCTCCTTACGGATGAGCAAAGAAAGTGGTTTCTTGAGATGGTCTACAATCCTGGTGAAGACTGTTGAAAGAATTTAGAGTATTCCATAAACTTAGTTGCTCAAGTAGCAGCAGGGTTTGAGAAGACTGACTGGGGTTCGAAAGAAGTTCTACTGTGGGTAAAATGCTATCAAATAGCATCACATGCCATAGAGAAATCATTCGTGAAGAGTCAATCGATGTGGCAAACTTTATTGTTGTCTTATTTTAAGAAATTGCTACAGATACCCCAACTTTCAGGGACCACCACCCTGATCAGTCAGCAGCCATCAACATCAAGAGCAACCATCAGGCTCTCTGGAAGCTCAGATGGTAGTTACCTTTTAATTCACTTTATTTTATTTTTTTTTAGCAGTAAAGTTTTTTAAATTAAGGTATGTACACTTTTTTTAGACATAATACTATTGCACACTTAATAGACTACAGTATAGTATAAAACGTAATTTTTATATGCACTGGGTAATGAAAAAAGTTCATTTGACTGGCTTTATTGCAGTATTTGCTTTATTGTGGTGGTCTGGAACTAAACCCACAATATCTCCAAGGTAAGCCTGTACTCAATGATTCCATTCCTTTTTCCTTTCTTTTCCTACCATATACTAAGTGGTAGAACTTAAGAGACAACTCTTTTGCTTTAAAATACAGCTGAGTTTCTAAAATTCCCCCAATTAGTGATTCATCTCTATTAACAAAGAAACTCCTGAGAAGACTGAAAAATTGCGGCACTTTTCATGGATTCATGTGGTAGTGAGATCTATTTAATCAAATTGGAAAAAAAAAAAAAAAAAAAAAAAAAAAAAAAAAAAAAAACAAGAAGGGAGTCCAAGAAAGTTTCACAGCATGAACTGCTTTGGAAATAGGCATATATGGGTGAAATGCCACAGTGGAGGCCTGGACAGTCAGGGACTATCCCATAGGTCCTAGGCTCTGGAAAATGAGGAAATGATGAGAGACAACAGAGAAGTGAGAAAAGTTTGCTTCGTATCTGGTACTTTTCCTCCCCACCTCTTCCATCACTTGAGTTTGTATGAATTTTTAAAGGCAATGGGAGATGGGTGAACCCTGTTTGTCCTATAAAGAAGCTACCAAAAATGGGCCTCCTTCCAAGAAAAATCCAGGATGAAGTGTTCAAATAAAAGGGTATGCGCAAGGATGTACTGTAGACAAAAACCAATGTCTTTCACAGTCACATCTGATAGTTGGGAGGTGAGTGGGGACCAATGCATTAGGGATGGGAGTTAGCCTTTGCCCCACATCAGCAAGCGCTAATACCTGCTACTGCCTTTAGGTTGACCTAGCCTCATGCTGAAGAGACTGAAAGACCAGAGTAAGGGTCAGTTCACATGGTCCTCAAAGAATGGTCCACTTTTCCATATTGCACATCGCTGAAATCTTGGGAGAGCCACAATCCTTGGGACCAAGAGAGCATGTAGGGTACTATAGGTGCCACCATATACAACAGCGGGATCCACAGAAGGGAAGTCTGTCTAAAGGAGAAGGTGCCACTTGTTCTACCTACATTTTTATTGTAGAGAAGCCAACAACCATGCAGCCAAATGTACTTGGCACTCCCACGGGAATTGCGTTTGGGGAATTAAGCCAGTTAGAAGATAGGAGGATGTCATTCAGGGGAGGAAATGCCCTACCAAATGGAAACTGCCTCTATATCCCTAGATAGTCCCTCTTTAGCCCAGACTGATGCTTTCCTGGATACACACAGACTCATGCAGTCTCTATGATAGGACCTAAGTTAATGGACACTGTTTTCCATTAATAAACCAGTGGATACAACAATAAAAGGCAGACAAATGAGCCAAACTGGTATTAGTTAACAATGAAATCAATATATTTTCTGGTCATATCTTCATGTTACCTTCCCATCTCCCCAGTAAACTAGAATAAGCAATGTTCATTTCTACTCTACTGCCAAAGAGCAGTCTAGGTCTACAGCCATTCAGTCTGTTAATTAAAGTAATGCACATTAATTTAGTCCACTTGTTAAGCTGAATGGTGGGTAAGCTCTTCAGTAAACAAATTAGTCTCAAAAGCTACTAGTTAGAAGAGCCTGGGTGGCTCAGACAATTGGGCATCTGACCTCAGCTCAGGTTATGATCTCATGGTTCATGAGTTCGAGCCCCACGTCGGGATCTGTGCAGACAACTCAGAGCCTGGACCCCACTTCAGATTCTGTGTCCCCCTCTCTCTCTCTGCCCCTTTCTGCTTGCACTCTGTGTCTCTCTCAAAAATAATAAACATTAAAAAAAATTTTTTTTAAAGCTACCAGTTAGTTACCTCCCACCGTAAAGATTCACCGACTTTATCACCACTCTCAAACATAGTAAGCCTGCACAATCCCAATCCTCTCAAACATAGCTCCTGGTATAGACAGCACGAGTACCAAGAGAAAGCTTCACAGGGAAGGGGAGAGTTGTCGGGGTTCTTGCACTTGTCTGTATGTCCTGCTGGTGGTAAGCAAATCCCAGACCTGTGTCTCATGGTAAGCTGGGAATGTCCTCAGGACCCTGCAGGGAAGAAGCCAGGCTAGATAGTAAAATATTCCTGAACCACAGCAATGGACTCTCCTGCCCCTTCAAATGCTGACTCTTGCTAGCCTTAATCTCATTTTCTGTTTTGGGTCTTTCGCCGTAGACCCAAATCCCTCATGATTTTTACATTTTCCTAGATCCTACTCCTGACTTCTCCCTATCTTGACTATGTTATCTATTGGCATCACCAAACTGGTAGAGTATAAAAGTGGCTTAAACTCACTGATCCTACCTTTTCTTTCTCCACAGTCATTCCAAAATGTTGGCCAGCTAAAGCAGCAAAAATACTTCGTGATTTCTCTCCCTGCCCGGGAGTCTCCCATTGTCTCCACAAAATTTTGCCAAAAGCTTCTTCTTACCATTCTTTTAGATATGCATGCCTGTCCTTGGGATCACCCTTTTGCTTTTGGTGAGCCACCCAAATTGTCACCATGTAACTATGCTTTTCTCTTACTCCCCATCTGACTTTTCTCGGTGCTCCTCTGTCAATGCAGTTTCATGCGGTCACGTCCACCTAGACATTTACACATATACATAAAACACAATTTTTCAAAGCCCTGTACAGCCCTATGTCAGAGACATGGGCTGGAGAAGACCACTTTCTATGAAAAACTTGGGATAGAAAAGATGGTCAGTGACAATTGATCTCTTGCCCTCCAACAGAACTGCAGTTAACCTACCATAGGAGGAAAAAAGAAAAAAAGATGTTTTTTTTCTTAATAAAAATATCTTCCAAGAAGAGTGTTTATACAACTTTCCTAAGTAGTGCATCTATTACTACAACATCCAGTTTTCTTCAAAGTTCACTGTACTTCCTTAAAGATAGAGGACATTAGGAAGGGTCTGAGTCATAGTTTATACATACTGTTCTAGGTCTCATTTTACCAAATGGTTTGAAGATGAGTGTTTCCTATGTTTGTCTTTTAAAGATTTAAAATCCTCCAAAATGTCAGTTTCCAATCTTCAAAAAAAAAAAATGATCCAATAATAAAAATTAAACTGTGATTAAACAAACATCAGTATAATTAAACAAAATATTTATGGGCATGATTCTGAAGCTTGAATGTATGCTAGTAATGATGCAATGATTTATAACTAGTATTATTAAACTGTTACTACTTGTGGTACTTACCTTCAATCAGATGAAATTGTTTAACGAGATCTTTTATATCCAGAGAAGTATTCCCTGAAGGAATAAATGCAGGAAATTAGATACATCAAATTCCCAACTTAAAATGCCTTCCTTTTCAAAGCAACAAATATATAATCTCAAGGAATAACAAACCTTCTCTAAACACAATGAGTTCTTTAAAATAAACTGCTGCAAACTGGGTGATGTTTGGTGGGTTGGTTTTGAGAACGGCTCTGCTAAGTCCCTCGAGCAGAGTCTTGAGGCCATAAGGTACGACAAGTCTGGGCTTTGAAGAAATCATTTGGGCAGGATGTCTGTAATATCAACTATAATGAAGAAAAACAAGGTCTTATAAATAGTATATGATAGCTTTGACAACAAATCTGTCTCCTATAGAAATTATTACCTTTAGTTCTAATTTCTAGGCATTTATTCTAGCAAAGTGGGCTAATTCTTAATGGTAGTTAACACACAGGCGTTGAGTGCGTGCGCGCGCGCGCACACACACACACACACACACACACACACACACACACACACAATAGCTCATTATGTGCAGATGAGCAATATAGTAGTACTATTAAACCCCCTGGGGAAAGCCCTGGTGAGAACTCTAGGATAATAGTAAAAACAAAGAACCAACCAAACAAAACTTGTTTCTGTAAAATTTAGTAAATATTTTGTGCAGAATTTCAAGAAAGATAAATTAAGCTCGTGTATCGGTGTCTAAACATCCTTTGAAATTACATGGGCACTGGCTTTTTCTCTGTACCTTCATCAGATAGAATTGTAGAATAGAGTTTCTACAAGAAAACATCTTTTTCCTCATTTTTCTAAATGTATCCCTGGACACGTTGATCGTCTTTCAGTATACAATTTTTAGCCTTTGCTTTAACAATCAGAATAGGTATAATTTACTTGTGGTATCACACCACCCACTACCCTATGCACGTCTCTCTTTTCTCCTATCCTCCCTTAACCTCTGCCCTAGTCTTCCCCTCTCTCCCCTTTCTGCCGCCTTTCTGATTTTAAGTGGTACCAAGGGTATTGCATAGTCCAACCTGTAATGCTCAAGAGTTGCAAAGATTGCCATCCTAAACCGTGTGTCAGTGTGTGTGTGTGTGTGTGTGTGTGTGTGTGTGTGTGTGTGTGTTCTGTTTCAGTGTACAAGATGATTTCAGGAGGTTTATAAATACATGTAAAGAACAGAACTATTTAAGGAGTTCAATGGTAAGGGAAAAATCGTGGTAGGAAAAATATGATGAAGCCAAAGGTAAGGTTAGTATCCCCATGCAAGCCATACAGCCTACACTTTGATGGAGATGGCATGTCAAATCAGCCCCTGAGCTACCAGGCAGCCATCACGAAATAGGAAAAAGTTGGTTAAATGGTTCATGTTTCTGAGATAAAAAATCAGTTGCCTGGGAGACTCAGAGGCATTCTGAACACCGAATCCCAGGAGAAATTTCTCCCCCAGGTCCTCATAAAGAGGGGAATAGTGTGATATAATGAATCATGTCAACAACATCCCTACAGTCGAGTAACGGGTTTCATAGAGCTAAGTTGCAGGGTTTAGTTACAGCAATTATATAAGGAGCCAACCTCTAATAAAAAGTTGTGTGTCATAACAAAATGCTGAATATTTAAAAGCACGTTTCATCTTCCCAAAGGTCAGGGGAAAAAAAATGAATCTCTGTTGGTTAAAGCAAATCTTTTGAGGATATAATTAAGTGTATTGAATCCTTTAATGAAAATCTACTCTCAAAGTTTAAGTCAACTTGACCTTTACTGAATAAAACTATCTTTAAACAACCACTAGTGCGCAAAAAAACAAACAAAAACAAAAAAACAACCAAAACAACCCCACACCACTAGTGCAGCTTTGGCAGGCCACAAGCTAAACGTTAAGGGATGTAGGCAGTAATTGTATGCATGATCCACAGATACGCTATTTTTGTGTGCATGTGTATATAATTTTTTTTCAAGTACACATTTTGCACCCCAGTGTGAGTCGATAAGTCACGTTTGGAAAAGCGGCTTACCGGCAGCCATGATGGAGCTACCCAAACACCCTTTCTGTAGGCAGTTGGCAGTTGCTGCCACCAACCGTGGACAGAACGGCCGTACAGTGATCCTATTGGTTCTCCGCGCAGGCGGTATGCCGCGCCCCCAACCACTCCACACTCTGGAAGTGTGCGAGGCCTTTCAGTGCCCCAAGACCTGGGATGCTGTACATCCTACAACACAGTCCCATGAGAAAAATTGTCCTGAGCAAGTTGAGAAATACTGCGACACCAAGCAGGACTACATCGACGGGTAGTCACACACACACACACACACACACTGAGAGCTTAAAACCGACCGCTTAATTCTACCCAAATCTCTCCTTTAGAGGTTACTTGTCCAAAACTTTTTACTACCCCGACCCCTGGTGCTGAACTGTGAGCTTGCGTTTTTACCCACTCCCCCAGGGCTAACGCCTGAGCGGGACAACGGTGCTGTAGGCTGAGAATGCGGGAGCGCGGGCTTCAGAGCCATAGGAAACGTCAACAATACACACCGCTCCCTCAAGACCTACGTTGGGGTCTGTGCTTGGTTTGCCGTTGGGTTTGGTGGGAAGGGCAGCGAAACGGAGAGCGGGCGTCCCGGTTCCGCGTCTAGTTCAGGAGGCGCAGGTGGCAGACCCACCGCCGGGACTCCCGGAGCTCCGCCACACCCACGGTTGTGAGCCTGCCCTTCCCCACGGGCCTCCCACTCCGGGGGCCCTCCGTCTTCCCCAGCACTGGAACAACCATCCACCGAGCCCACCGCGAGAGGCGCCCCGAGGGCGTGACCGCCTCCTGGGCCGCAGGGCGGGGGGGGCCTTTTCTCCAGACTCCCCCACCTTTTCCTTTCCGCCTATGCTATATAAAGCTTCCTCGTTGCCCCCTTGCCGGCGGCTCCTGAAGGAGTAGGGGCGCAGAGCTGGGTATTTATAGCCCTGTGGACGTCAGGGCGTGCGTCACAAAGCTCCTCCCTCCTGCTGGGAGCTCGCGGTCAGTAACGGAGGCGGAGCCTCAGCGTCCTCAGCCAATGGGGAGCCGCAGAGGACAAAGGCTCCAACTCCGCGGGCCAGACACGCAGGTGGGCTTTTCCTTTTCTAGAATACAAACTGCCGTTTCCAAACCGCCAGAAGTCGCTCAAGGCTACGGCCTTTCCACTTCATCGCTCATCATAAAATAAGAGCTGGTGTAGAAGGAAACAGATTTATGGCATTTCTTGCAGTCGCCGCCTCGCCTCTTCGCACTACCCCTTCCTCCACAATGTTACTCTTTTCAGCCAGCTTTTAGAATAGTCTGTCACGGTAAACATAATGCTAAAATGTTGAAGAGAACGAATAATTTTATGCAACACAGTACTTTCCCTTTTGAGAAAATCACCTGTGGGAAGAGAATTTGGCAATAATCTTGAGGCTTCCACTTTCAGTAACTCGGATCTGGCAATACAGACACAACCCACCCTCCCCAAATCCTACCACCAGAAACCGGTTGCAATTCAGACCAAAGTAAAGGCACATCGACTCGTTTCAAATACCTGCTCCCTGCTCTTTCATCCAAACTCACATACTTGAGCTGGGCATTAACTGCCGCCATAATCATGATGACCAAACTCCAAACGGGCTTCAACGTAATTCGTTTTCAAATATTTAAACAAGAATCATTGTAAATCAACCAAACAGTATCTTCAAGGCATAGATAGGATTAAAAAAAAAAAATTTAAAAAAAATTCAGAAAACAGTTAAGGCTTCCAGAGCTCTTAAGAGGCAATGCTTAGGGCACCAGTCTCCATCTATGCTACACAGAGCACTTTCTACACATACTAAATCTTCCAAATAATAGTTACTGAGTGCTCATTATGTCACAGGCTCCCTCTTCTCCTGAAGATTGCATTTTGAAAGCAGAAATGCTAAGTTTAGATTGTGATGATAGGTCTGCAGATGGTACTTGTCCTTGGCCACTGCCCTGGGCCCCATTTTGGTGGATAAAAGTGAAATGAAGCTGTCATGATTTTTGGTGGTTTCGTTCATAATATATTTAACTATCAAAGATAGAATGAAACCTTCTAAAACCCCCAAGTACAAACCCCATTTATGGCATCTTTGGGAATTATTTATGCTTCTGTAGCCTAACCTCGGCAGGCCACCTTGGACACACAGGTCTTAGGTACTGTGCAGAATATCTGCAATGCATGTCCTCTTTCCACATTTCATCAATGACTCTTTTGTCCAAGTCCCTGAGAGGCAAATTGTTACAGTGAAAACATTTAACCAAAAATTTTCAAACTACTATTCACTGCTTTGATTTCTAGAACTCTTAATGATTTCAGGTGGTTTTATATTCTTCTTGTCCTTTCAGTCACTAGGGATCTAAATGCAAAATGATACTCTGCTTTGCTTTGCATTTCTCCTTGCTCCCCATCCTTACTTCATGGAAGTTCAAGGTTCTTGGCGTGACCTCTGCAAAATTCAAATGTTATTTCGTTCCCACCTGACTCGAAACTGGCCTGAACACACATACTGTTTGTCACCTCTGTGCCTTTGCTCATCAAGACCAAGGCCTGAGATGTTCTTCTAGCCATCATTTTCACCTGACTACATCCTTTAAAACTCAGGGATCTCCTACTTTAGGAAGCCAATGGGTTAGAAGCATTTCCTCAGTGGCCCCATGATAATACACTCTGAGCATAACCTTGCTATATGTTTGGTTTGTGTTTGGCTCTTCTCTCAGATTTACTAAATACTTACCAAAAGATGATAACCTAGGGTAGTGTTGCTCTAATTGAGACCACCTGCACTGGAATCATTTTTAGGAGCTTGTTAAAAATGCCTTCCTAAACCCTACCTCATAGCTACTGAGTCAGATTCTCAAAGGAGGGCTAATTTGTACAACTAAAATTTGCAAGCCACTGGCCTGTGGCTGGACAAAGCGTAACCCAGAGCTCACCCAGGTCAACTGGGAGCTAGAGCTCAGTCTTTCTGGTTTTCACAAGAAAGCCAATTATAATGTGCACTGGGCAAATTATACTCTAGTGAAGAAGAGACACATCTTTTATCGATCAACTTTCCCGTCTCCTGCTCCCGAACCCTTGCTGTCCTTTTCTCTTTCCTAGCTTCCAAGTCTCCTCCCTCTACTATGTATCTCTTGGGGAGGATATGAGCTTAACCATTTTTTTTCTACAAGATATACCACCAACAGAATTCAAAAATATGTAAGAAACACCAAACAGTACATCATGACTGTCAATGTGTATCTGCATCGATTCAGATCCGTAGGTGTATACTTGCCACCACAATTTGCTTAAGGAAGCAATCAACTAGGAAAGTTATACAGCAAAGGAATAGCCACACACACGCACGTGTGTCTATTTTAAAAATCAAATATGCACTGTCCTTTTAGTTGGCAGAAGCATAAGAGTGCAAACTCTATAATCATTGACTTGCACAATATTCAACAATTCCTTGTTATCTGTGACATCTGAAATACTTCACTTGCTCAAATACTTAGCTATCATGTGCTAAAATCAGACCCTAACCTAATAAAAAAATCTTAAATATTTTAACACCACAAAGGTACATGTCACATTATTAGACCACACCTCCAAGCTGTGACAAATTATGTGTTCAGAGTACATATACATTAGAGATTTCTCTCATCATAGGCCAAATCTAATACAAAAATACATTTGACGCTCATAAATTAGAAGATCCATTTAAGAGCCTCCAAAATAGGAACGAGGAAGGAGTGATGCCAACATAAAAAAGCACACGTAGATCCAAGTTGTTCTGGTTATAGGATTATTTTCTTCATCCACGAGGGGGTAAAGAGCAAGTCACACCAAGCTAAGTTTCTAGGCAGATCACAGTTCACAGGCTGGTTAAGTCATGGCACGCAGACCAGAAAATGTTATGAATTACTCAACTCAAAAATGTTTTCAGATTTCAGTCTAATAGTACTATACCTGCACTGTGGTTTTTGTTAGAGACTTTACAATCATTACCTACCCCATTAGGTAGGTAGGTAGGTACTCTCCATACTCTACGGCCCTGTTAACACACACAAACCACAGGGGCTATCCGGCACCAAACATAGGAAGAGTTACAAACAGACCTACTCTTTGACTATTAAAGTGGTCAGTGAACTGAATACACACTTATTTGAATCCTGAAATCTCTCTGGAGAGATACAAATAAATTTTTAAAGCAGTGAGTGCAGGAATAGTTTTTGTTTAATCCTAAAGTACAGGACTTCATGTAACCTTTGAATACTGAATAATAGTTCAAAAAATATTTGAACTGAAAATTCAAGTGAGTATGACCTGAACCAAGAACTTTGGGTTCAGAATGCTCCACAACCCTAACTGGGAAGTCTGGCTCATATGCTATAGCCAAGGACAAAATGGCTAGGGCCAGATTTCACAAATTCATAATATTCTTCCCTTAAGCCTCAATGAAATTAGGCTTCCAGTATTTTTAAACACCAAATGTTTTCTTCAGAAAGCATCTACTTGGCTTCTGCATCTGCTCATTCACTGAATGTAAGATAGCAATCTTTTCTCTCTGGCTAGTGTCAAAAATCCAGGCAGGATTCACACCAGAAAAAGTCCATGTGAATAAAACACTTTGGAAGTGAGGAATCATGAATATAATTTAGTCAAAGTCAGTGAAGAATAATTATTTCTTTCAGAGAAATTATCATTCCCTCAGAATCAGATGAAGTAGGTTAAAGCTGTCAACATCCTAGTTGCTCCTCCTAGGTTTTATTTTGAAAAGAAATATTAAAGTATTAATATCATATGAGATCATGCTTCAGCTACAAGGATATGTAAATAAATGACACCCCAAGAGGATACTCTCTTTAGCACAGTATAAATTTTAAAAAATCTAACCTTAAGCCTGAGCCAAGTTAGGCACACAATTATGGCAGACATTCTCAAGTGACTGAGGTATTTAGACTCTTCAAAAACAAAGGTGTGCAGCACTGGGCTAAGAGGTGAATTAGATGACAACAAAAATTAGCAATGAAGGATTAAAAATTAACTTTGAACTCCTTTTATAGAATAACCTGAGCTAAGGAGACAATGATTAAATCCTGGCAACAGATAGCCCAGCAAATCCTTCACCAGCAAATATTCTGAGGAAAAAAATACAATCACCTATGTTCATTTAAGAATAACCTTGTCAAGTAATTTGTTAAAAGACCTCCAAAAGTTGGTAACGAGATAAGTTATCACAAAGATAAGGAAACTCCTAAAATATAGGTATTATTTAGCCAATAGACCAGGCTTTCTAATAAATTAGCAAAACAGTTCTACTTTTGATTGTAAAACTACCTATTTGCTTCTACTTGGTTGGCTTTCAAAGGAAAAAAGTGTTCATTACTTTGAAACATTCTGTAGACGATCTGGAGATAAGTATTTTTGATGACACAACTTCAGCTGAAGCGCATTTGTGTTTTAATAAGGAAAACATGAAATTCTGGGTTATTAACACATTTTGTTTTACAAGAATATTCTGTCTGTGGTCAAGAGATCTGTGTTCTATTCACTGCTCCACTGATAACAGGAATAATTGATTGGGATCAATTAGCCTTTTTGTGCCTGAGTTTGTCTAGACAATGGGAATAATATCTGTGCTATGTTATTCACAAGTTAGAGGATAAAATAAAACACTAGAAAGCACTTTTATTTTTTTCAAAACACAATATAAATGCTATGTCATAATACTGTTGATAATTTTACAGGTGCCTCCTAGTGTTATATGCAGTCGGATGTGTGCTTAAGGTAGGCGTTCCTAGAAGATCACAGGTGGAATATTTAGTTTGCTTTTATTTTAAAAATAATAAATCACAAAACTAAAATGTTTGAACAAGGTCACTTAACCCTCTCCCCAGGTGGTTAGTTATAATTACTAGTATCCTCATTATTATTACTTTTTAGCTATACGTTTAAAAGAGGAGATCTTTAATATGTCAGCCTAACTGGGAAAATGTGTCCCTGGCACAGGTGGTTTTCAGAAGAAAAGCCGGTCTTCGGGCTTCCAGAAGAGCTGTGTCCTCTGCTTTCATTTTAAAGTGCAGAACCTGGTAGGGAGGGACAGAACAGGAAGTCCGAGTCTATCACTGAGGAACCAGTTCCCTCAGGGAGGCCAGAGCAGCATGGATGCGGACATGCAATCTGTTTTCAAAGTCGTAGCCAGAGAAATCCTCCTGTAAGACCAAAGAAGGAGATTTATGAACTCTATGAACTGAGCCTTCCGAAACACTGCAACATAAGCCACACGATTTTGTGCTTCCTGAAGTAAAATCTCTCACACTGCTTCCCATCCACTCAATTTTATTTCCCAAACCTCAAACTTCGGGTTCATTTCTAAAATGTCCAGGAGGATGTCAATGCTGTCTTTGGAAAATTGTCTTCATGTTATTCCTGAAATAGTAGTAGTCTTGAACTGTGCTCAATCTAACCTGCTATTAGAAATTCTTCATTCAAGACTATAGTTATGGGGGCGCCTGGGTGGCTCAGTCGGTTAAGTCGACTTTGGCTCAGGTCATGATCTCACAGTTCGTGAGTTTGAGCCCCGCGTCAGGCTCTGTGCTGACAGCTCAGAGCCTGGAGCCTGCTTCAGATTCTATGTCTCCCTCTCCCTGTGCCCCTCCCCTGAAGTGTGTTTTTAAAGCAGGATGGGCGATTTCATTGAGTTTCTTATATTAGTAATTTCACTTAAACATCAAGGGCTCACCAAATCAATTAGTTATTACTTTTCCTTTCCAGAAATATCAATCAGAACAATCATCTCACAAAACTTCTTGAATTCAGACTCGAGTGGACACAACAGAGGGTAAGAAGGGCCCTGGAAAAAGGTAGATACAGTCTTTTTACCTTTGCTTGAAGAAGTAGAGTTCTGCCTCTTGCTACAGTCTATGAATGTAAGAAAAACATAATATCTTTTAATATCTATATTTGGACACACTCAAGCAGAAAATGTTGTAACAGGATAGATTAATTAAAACAATTCACAGTAGACACAGAGGTGAGTCAACTGCTCATTCTAGTTTAGTCACTCAATTTTTCGTTAATGATGCTTGTTAAGTTCACACTAAGGCATTACTAAATAATTGTGCATAACCCTCATTATACAACAAGAGATTAACAACTTGGAAGAGTTATTATAGCTTAAGATCTTAGGGAGCAACCTAAAACTGATGATCATTACAAAGTTTACTTGACACCAGTAAGTTAGACCTTTGGAATGCATTACTGGTTGAGAACATCAGCTTCACGTTTCCAGAAATGGACCAGGCTTGTTATATTTTAAGTACACATTTTAAGGCCATATTAAGAGTAAAACTTTTCCTAAAGAATATGGTGTTAGGGTTTTCTACAAAAAATGACAAAACTTGCCTTTTCTACTTTGGTAAAATTAGAATTTCAAATGACTTACCAATTACAAGCCTATATTTGGCGAGATGGGCTACATATTTAAGGGTCAGTCTTGAATCATATTTCTGTTGATTTGGCTCTAATTTTAGAAGGCCTATTTATTTGAAAGTATAATGAACTTACTAAAAATTAGAATCTCATAAAGCTAGTATTATGTAACTGAGTTTCTAAAAGAAGGTAGCAAGCAAATCCACTCGTTTAAAAACAACACTTCCGGGGCGCCTGGGTGGCGCAGTCGGTTAAGTGTCCGACTTCAGCCAGGTCACGATCTCGCGGTCCGGGAGTTCGAGCCCCGCGTCGGGCTCTGGGCTGATGGCTCAGAGCCTGGAGCCTGTTTCCGATTCTGTGTCTCCCTCTCTCTCTGCCCCTCCCCCGTTCATGCTCTCTCTCTGTCCCAAAAATAAACGTTGAAAAAAAAAATTAAAAAAAAAACAAACAAAACTTCCCCAGTATACTTAAATATGTAACTGTCAAATTTATATGGCATTCTGAAATTTTTAAAGCAATCACCACATCATCCTCATTTATTCTCACCATAATCTCCATTCACTTGGCAAGGCAGGTATTTTTTATCCTGTTTTACATATTAGGAGGAAGATACATGGTTCAGGAACATAACCAGCCTCCTACACTAAGGTGAAGGCAGAGTTAGAATCCGAATGCAAATCCGTGTTCTTCTGAATAAGCCGTACTACTTCATATCCTACCATTCTAAAAAAGGCAATGATTTTCCCCTCGAGTGAGTTTTTGTCCAAAAAGGTACATTTATACTGCTCATTCCAGAGAAGAAACTGCCTCAGTAAACATAGTAAAAGAGGATGACTCACTTCTTGGATTTTTCCTGCATGAAATCAAGGAAAACAAAACCAAAAACCCACCATGTTCAATTCACTGACTTTAAACGAAGGATGCTTTGTGCCTGCTCACCTGTGCATTTTTGCTGATGAACGTTACTTAAACTATATGAGGCCTTACCTCCGGTTTGTCTAACAGAAGACAGCCAAGTTCATAGCAAGCATATGGCTGGACGTATAAGTTATTCTGACGACACAACTCATCTTTAACAGCGCGCTGAAAGAACTGAAAGTAATACAAAAGTTACTACAATTAACTCATTTTCCCACCTAAGGTTCATCGCATCTTCAGGAGGCAGAAGGGGGGACTTATCTCTGTATTCTAGATGTTTGTTTTGGCACCCTTATTTCTTCCCATCCTCATCCATATCTACAAGTCCGCTGCATGCTTGCCTCCAGGCTATGCTACCCATTGGTCAGCTCAATCTGTGCTTCTTCTATTTCCAGTTGACAACGTAGCCTCTACTGATCTTAATGCGGAAAACATCATGATCTGCATCTCAAAGTAACATACCAATATTTAAAACAGGAAGCACACAAGCCAAGAATCAGCTCCTGACACGTATCTTGACTGTATCTTGCGGATACTTAAGTATGGGATCTAAAGCAGACTACTCAGAGCTGTGTAATAACTATCATGACCCTGTGCTGAAAAAGTAATTTAAAATTATAAAATAAAAGTATGTCAACACTCTAGGATTTAAAAGTCAAAGTCCCCTACTACTGTACATGAACTCTTTTAAAGAGTAATCAAAATTACACTGGGCTATACTTCAAAACATCCAACGACACAAAAACTTTAGAAAAATTCCCCCAACTATATTTGAAAATAGTGAATGGTTCTCTTCCATATAGTATGTACACAGAATATCTTAAGCTAACACTTTTCTAGACTTTACCTCCAGGGTTGCTTTGGTAATCTGCAGTTACAGACAGGAAAAGTGAACGCACACTAACATATCTGATCATCTTGGGGATTTATCTAACTATGAGGCTTCATTTTGCTCCTTTAAAACTGTCTGCATCCTTATTTCCTCCTTCTCCAACTGAGACTGTCATCTCTGATAAGTAACTCCTGCCAGAAGAAAAGCCTGTGTATAAAGAAGCAATGTAAGAATCTGAAGTTACACGTTACTAACTAGTATTCTCCACCAGCACCTTCCAGCATCTGAGAGGAGAGGACACGGATCGGTAGAGGGTTAAGCTCACCCTGCGGCCAAAGGTCTGGTTTTGTTGAATGTTTTTCCATTGTCCTTATTCCTAAGCACACATACAGGCTTTCACAGTCTATGTTCCTTGGCCACAGCATTAACGGTTTACCTGAACAGCATCTTCTGAGTTTCCCAGACATTTGTGTATGGCACCAAGAAGCAAATACTTTAATCCAACAACAGATGAATCATCCACTTCATGGCAAGCTTAAGGAGAAGTGAAAACAGCAGCAAGGATAATAATTCACTTAATTTCTTAAACATCATCATGAGTTAAGAATTTCATTGTTCATTGACCTGAATATTCAGTTCACAATCCTGCCCCCTGAAACTCAGAAGGCTCCTTTTCCTTCTGAGTGAATACCCTTATTCAAAGAAAGGCAAAAATATCAAACATCTGGGCATCCAGAGGACTCGGAATTATATCATATTGTTAGTAGGAACAAGAAACCAATCTGCAAAGGCTACATACTGCGTGCAGGATTCTAACTATATGACATTCTGGAAAAGGCAAAACTCTGGAGGCGGTAGTTCCCAGAAGTCTGGGGGAGGGAGACGAAGGGAGGAACAGCTGGAAGACAGGGGATTTTTAGGGCAGTGAAATATTCTGCAGGATACTACCTCTAAGTATGGCTACATGTCAGTACGTACTTGTCAAATCACACAATGTATGAAACAAAGAATGAACTCTAATGTATGACTAAACCCTAATGATGTGTCAGCATTGGTTCACTGGCTGTAACAAATGTATCCATCTGGGTGAGGGGGGGGGAGTAGGGGGGTGGGAGTGGTGGCAGTGTTGATGGGGAGGCTGTGTGTACAGGGAAGTGAGGCGTGTGGTATGTGGAAACTCTAGTACTTTGTTTAATTTTGCTAAGAACCTAAAACTACTCTATAAAAATACTTCTAAAAAATTCTATCATATTAACTTCATAAGCCATATGGCGGGCACCTTTCCACGTTTGTACTGATGCACTGCACTCATCACTGAGGGGGCATCTGCCGTGACCCCTCCACTTCAAGAAGCTTGCCATGTACCACGCAGGATGGGCACACATGTTGGAGGATGTTACAGGAGTTTTTCCAAGGAAATGAAAAGGGTGGAAAATTGGAAACACAGTGGAGCTAACAGAGGAGGAAAGGAAGTTAACGGTTTCTATGGACCAACAGAGATACTGAGATTTGGTAAGATTTTATAAATAGACACACATACATATGTACACACATATACACACACACCTTTGTTTGTGGCTGGTTTAAGCCTCAATAAAAAGGTGATATTTGAGTAAAGACCTGAAGGAAATGAGTGAAGGAGCCACATGGATGTTCAGAAGCACATTTGCAGACAGAAAGAAGAGAAAGTGCAAAGGCACTGAAGCCGGCGTGTGCCTGGTGTGTTCAAGAACAGTGAAGTGAGTGTGGCTGGAGCCTGGTGAGCAAGCAGGAGGAGCAGTGAGAGGCAATGGGGTGGACGAGGGGGGAGAGTGGTGGACAGATCACAGAGCCCTGTAGGCCACTGAATGGACTTGGGCATTTACTTTAAATGATATGAAACCACAGAGGGTTCTGAGGCCCAAAATAACATGACTTCATTTAACCGGATCACTCTGGGCACTATGTTGAGGATATACAGAAATATTTTTAAAATGCAGAGGAAGAGGGGCACCTGGGCAGCTAGGTTGGTTAAGTGCCCAACTTTGGCTCAGGTCATGATCTCACAGCTTGTGTTCGAGCCCTGCGCTGGGCTCTGTGTTTACAGCTCACAGCCTAGAAGCCTGCCTCAGACTCTGTCTCCCTCTCCTGCCTGTGCTCTCTTTCTCTCTCTGCTCCTCCCCTGCTTGTGTGCTCATTCCCTCTCTCTCGCTCCCCCTTGCTCCCCCTCAAAAATAAACATTTAAATGTTTAAAAATAAATGGATAAATAAATAAAATGCTGAGGAAGAATGCAGTGCACAGGGTGGGGGAAGGGCTACAAATGAAACCACAAGATGAGCATTGTAAGAATCCAAGTACATCTGCTGATGAAGGAAGTTACAGATGGGGGGTCTGAGAAGCTGAATACACAAAGCTGGGTCAGCATTTAATTAATGCATTTGATTGCTTTCATCCACTACCAGTTTTTTTCTGGAACTATTACTCTACAGAGATCTTCTCTGTACTCTACATGGCTGAATAGATTTGGATCATTACTGCTTAACACTGGGGAATGATAGAAACTAATTAATCGATCTCAAAACTGCACTAATATTTAACAAAGATATTAAAGAATTATATCATGTTTACTCAAGAGCCTCCCTTTCTCCATGACCACATCATTGCTATTTATTTTGATACCTGCAAAGTGATTCAGAGAATATTTAGTCACATTAAGTGATAATCATTTCTATGCCTGTCAATTACAGCCTATTTTATATGTGCATTTGTGTCTGAATTCTCTCTACACAGTCTCACATTTGTGCATTACAAAGAATAAAATTCTGTATTGTTCCTTAGAGTTAGACATTGCTAGACATTCTACACTTGCATCAACAACCAGGGATTGTTTATTCTCCATGAACTTTTCCCATAGCTATAATAAAAATGACTTTATGAAGGCTATATTACCATAACCTATGGTCCTGGGGTTTTTTTTTTGGTTTTTTTTTTGTTTTTTTTAGTATTTATTTTTGAGAGAGAGAGAGAGTGAGCAAGCGGGGGTGGGGGGGGGCAGAGAGAGAGGGAGACACAGAATCTGAAGCAGGTTCCAGGCTCTGAGTTGTGAATACAGAGCCCGGTGCAGGGCTCGAACTCACGGACTGTGAGATCATGACCTGAACCGTAGTGGGACGCTCAACCAACTGAGCCACACACGCGCCCCCTTATGTTTTTTTTAAAAAATACATGAATTAAAAATCTAGCCTTCTAATTACACTCCTAGGTATTTACTGAAGAGAAATGAGTATATGATGTCCACACAAAAGACAAGTACACTTATGATGTATACTTATGTTTATAGCAGCTTTACTCATGATGGCTAAAAAAAAACCAGGAACAAATCAAACGTCCATTAACAGGAGAAAGGATAAACACACCATGGTACAGATTTAGCCCCACAGTGGAGTGTTGCTCAGCAGGTGTAAGGAACGAACTACCGATACGGGCTACAACATGGATCACTCCCACAGGTGCTATGCTGAACAAAGGAAGCCAAGCCAAGCAATGAAAAGTACACACGGTCTGAACTTCTATGAAGTTCAAGGACAGGCGAAAGTAATCTGTGGAGAGAGAAATCAGAACAGCGGTTGCCTTGGGGTGGGGACTGACCGAGAAGGTGCCCAAGGGAAATTACAGGGGTGGTTAGAAATGTTCTAGATCTTCATTGTGGTGGTGAATGCCAGCATGCATATATTTGTCAAAACTCAATGAAGCAGATACTACCTGTTCATTTTAATAGACGTGAATCAAACTTATATAAAACAAAGGGCTTTTGCTGGGGGGAAAAATGTACGCATCCAGCAATCCCCAGGGCTATAAGAGTCGGCAACACTTTGCAGTCTGTGCGCCTCAGCACACACCGCTAACGATGCGAGCACGTCCGCACATTCCCGTGCTGCCTACACCTGTCACCTATATGCAACAGAGCGTTCTTCACCACTCCACCATCTAATCCAAGAATGGCAGATCTGTACTCTCTGAACCAGATAATGCTAACGGGAAACCGAAGAAACCGGCCGATGAGCAGAGTTTTTTTATTACCTTGACTCATCCTCTGCAGGTTGGGGAAGGAGCAGTTGGGGAGGGCTTTCCACAGGTATAACACTTCGATGGAGGCCAGTACACACAACGCTCTGGTGGGAGCTACTTTCCGAAACCTCTCTGCCTGCAAGTGTGAGAATGATCACGCTGGGTTTGGGAAAACGAATTCAAATAAAAACATATACTCGAGACATTAAAAAATGCACAGTTCATCTCTGACATCAACAACCCCCTCCAACAAAGCTAACAATGAGAACTTCTCTCTATGTAAAAATTTTTGGCTTTCTAACCTTTAACGTATGATAGATATGCCTTTCATTCATTATTCAACTCCATCTACTGTTAAGATCCAGGGTGCATTCAGAAAACAGGATGAAAGTGGGTTCATTTCAGTTTAAATCCAAGGAATTTATAAAAGCTGGGTGACCAGTAATAATGAATGGGTTTACATGGAAGATGTAATTAATACTAGATGCATTTTAGTTACGGCTTTATTGACTTTTTAATTTTTTACTTAGTCCTAGTGGCCTCAGTGGTATTCCACATTATAATCCAGTTTATACTCAAGCTAAGTCACTCAATGTTCATTCATTAGTAACAAACTAAAATCATGGAAAATTCAGGATATGACAAGTTGTCGTGTAACTCACAGTGATTCCACCAACTTTTTTTCCTAAAAAGTGTAGAATAAATTAGGGTCTTTGTCCCTGCAGTACTGGGCCTTTCTACTGGTACATTTGATGCATGTTTTTATTTTTAGAAGGTCCAAATGTGATGTGTTCAGTAAATTATTGAGACTCAATAGTCTGTAACTCTTGCCTAGATTCTGCCAATTTCAATGCTTCTAAAACCACCCAACTCCTTAGACAGGTGCTTTCCCTTTCCAGATGTGCTCATTAGTTCTACAGGGTCTGTAATGTGTCTACCCACTCAAAGAAATAACAGCTGTTTTAATCACGTGCAGCAAAACCAGCACTTTCCATTCAAAAGAGAAGTACGCCCATGGGGGTAAATTTTCTCCATGGTGGTAAAGTGCACTGGCAAGTAAGTTGCTGGCTTGGATTAGGATTTCCTAAAACTTGTCCAAGATGGTGTTGGTTACAAATGCCCGTCACAAACACACACCAGATCAACAGGCTCCAACATACCTTTTTCACTGAGAATTGTTCAATCTGATTGTTTTTCCTTTTGAAGAGCTTCTGAACTTCTTTAAACACTATCTGCGCCCCATCCACGTCACCGGTGGCTCCCTGACAAACTGCAAGAAACCATTGTTGTACTCCCTAAGTATCGGGGAAAATGCCACGGAAAGACACTCAGGCTGATGGTACTTGGAAAACGTTACCAAAGAAAAACACGGGAGGGAGCAAGTGTTACATAGAGGCCTACAACATCCTGTTGATTGTCACACCACTGACTCAACAACTACTTCCTTGGGTTCCCAGAGTTTTGTGGGGACGTACAGGAAAACCGTGGTCCTGGTCCTCTCGTTGGGCGCTAGTCTTGGACGTGACAAAATTCCAAGCTATTGGCACAGTGTGGTCTAGCTGAGGCCCACATACTCAGAAAGTGGAATAAAAAGGAATCTAGGAAAGAATGATAAGAAGCCAAGAAGATCATGAAGCTTCATGGTGGATGGAGGGTACCTCTCTGTGCCTGGAAAGAAAGTCATGAAATTAATCTTACACATGTTCGTGGGCCACCTACCACCTACAAGCCACCAGCAAGAACATGGAAGAAAACACATGCTTTAACCCTAAAGAAATGTAAATTTCAGCTGGAGAAAGAAGATACACACATAGTCCCATAGCTATAATGTATATGTTGATAAGAGCCTTGAGGGTAGGAAAACCAAAGTGCTTTTGGAAAGCCTCAGGAAGAGAAAGGAAACATTTCTTTCTGGAGTGATCAGGAGCTAGGAGTCAGTCTGAGAGCCTTGGAGGATGGTAAGATTTTGGTAGCCTGCACACAATCTTCATCCTACCCCAAGCCCCAGGCAAAGACTTAATCATACTTGCTTCGCTTTGTATCTCTGAAGGTGAAACTTTACCAACTTTACCAACCACTCTTCTCAACTACAATGGCACTGAATTCATTTATATCAATTTTTTTTCTTAGATGTTGTCTTTGGCACATATTTTTCAATCCCCAGCTGGAATGTCCGTTGATTTCCTAATTCCTCCTTTATTCAAGCGCTCCTAAAACTAGGTGGTCCTCTATTCACATTTTGGGGTGTGGTCAAGCAGAGCACCGGGCCATGGCATGTCACAGGATGACACCTGTCAGCAGGGCCGAAGAAGCACCAAGACTCAGAGAAGGCTGTGGATGTCAAGGTGATGGGAGAAGCAGAAGATTTTCTGCTGGGAGTATGAGGGATTAAGCTGAATGTTCAAGGGAGGGACAACCACATTCCGTTAGGAAAGCGGCCCTGGTCAAAAGGACAGGGTCTGAATTCATCCAAAATGACCTCATCTCCTGCAGCTTTGGCATCTCAAAAACAGAAGGAAATGCAGTGATTGTTTTGTATACCAACCCCATCAGGCTATAGATCAGAGAATGTAAAGGTCCAAGAAAGTTAAAAGACTTGCCTAAGGTCACCCAGTAAGCAAATGAAAAAGAGTAATGTCTGCTGCATCTAGTCTGACATCCTTCTCCGACAATCTGTAACTTTCTTAGTCACATAGTTTAAAAAAGGGACAGATGGTGGTGATGGCTGCATAACAGTATACATGCACACTATGCCACTGAACTCAAAAATGGTGAAAATGGTAGATTTTACATCATGTGGATTTTATGACAATTGAACAGTACAGAAAACTCAGTCCCTGGTGGCAGTGTTTCTGGTCCCTGAACACCCATCCTCTCTAGCTCTGCCGGTCGACTGTACCTGTCCTTCAGGGCCAATTCAAATGGCAGCTCCTGCGAGATGGCAGATAGCTTGACAGAAGTGATTGTCCCCTTCCTGTGTATGCTTTGTAGTGGAGCTCCTGACACCTCTTACCATCTGCACAAAATCCCCTTGCAAAGGCAGAGACTAGTCTTTCATGCTTTATCAGCTCTCACAAACTGGTATAGTCCTGGGATTTCCAGTATTTGGAGAAAAAATACTCCTCTATATAGTCGCGTTGCACATTTATTTGTGTTCCATGATCAACAAAGATTAAAAAAGAAACAGCTGCCCACGAGTGACTATGTGACTCAATAACATGTTAACGACTGATGGCTGTGCTGTCGTGAAGACCTCTGCTTTTCAGTTCATGCATTCAACACGCTGGACACATGGAGGCTACTCAGGAAATAGCTGGCACTTTCATCGGAGATGCCTGTGGGTTCTATAAAACAACTTTTTTTTTTTTATGTTTATTTTAGTTTTGACAGAAAGACAGAGCATGAGCGGGGGATGGGCAGAGAATGAGAGAGAGAGAGAGAGGGAGACACAGAATCTGAAGCAGGCTCCAGGCTCTGAACTGTCAGCACAGAGCCTGACGCGGGGCTTGAACCCACAGACTGCGAGATCATGACCTGAGCTGAAGTCGGATGCTCAACTGACTGAGCCACCGAGGCGCCCCTGTAAAACAACTCTTAAGGCGTGAGACAAAGTATATTCACCACTATACTGAAGATAATCCTATTCAAACATAAGCTACAGAGCCATACAAAAATGGATGCCCTAGGGGGACTGTAGTCAAGAGTGTAGGTATCAAGAGCTTTCATGTTGACTCATAATGAACCGCAGTTTTAGAACATCCAGGATATGCACACTTGCCACTGTTAATTCTCTTAAATAGATCAGTTAGGGGACTGGAATGACAGGAAATGCTTCATTAAATGCAAATATTCAGGGAAATAAGGAGAGATTTAAAATTATGTTTGAATTTTAAAGAATCACTTATATGGCCGTGTAAGGAGAGTTTATCAGAAGCAGAAAACGTACAGCCACTTGGTACTTTTCTTTAATTTCCACCTCTGCAAGTGTACATCATGATGGCATGACAGCACTTTATGCATCTCAGGGCACAGACATCCCTTTCTCCACCAGGTGGCAGCATATCTTTATCTCCTGAGAGGAGGCCAAAACATGCACTCTTACTCATATCAGCAATGACAAGCGGTCTCTGCTAAATGATATGCAGTGTTCAAATACCTCATGTTCTACAAAATCACACTGTAAATTTAAGAAGGTTTTAATAAGTAAAACAAGGTTGGAGCAGACTACTCAAATGCAACTTTGTAACCAGGGCACTAATGATCCAAACAAAAATATTAACACAATTTAAAAGACATGTTAAATTCCTTAAAAAATATTTAAATTCTTAAAAACTAAAAACCATATTGTAGAAAGTAAAGGATAAGAGTTAAGGGTAGGCTGAGGCTGCTTAGGGCAAAATACACAGAAACCCTCACAATAAGCGTTTTCAAAACAGAGCCTATGACCAAACCAGCCGAGAGGGGAAGCTGGTGTGCAGGACTGAGTCAGTCACCGCTGGGTGACTAGGTAGCACAGAACATTAACATGCTACGGAAAAGGAAGAAGAGGAAGGAGAACCCCACATCTTCTTGACGTCTCCCTCCCATCCGCCAATGTGTGTGGTGAACTCACCACAGAAATAAGCTACTCACCTGCAGTTAAATAGGCGTAATAGCACTGGGACCACCTGGACTCATTTTTCAGCCTCTCAAAGGAATCAAATGCATCCTTGAAATTCAGCTCTATCATGCTGCACCAACCTATGAAAGAAATATTTTTAGTATGGGACCCTAAAGTCATGATTCATATCCTGTCTTTAAGCTAGGAATCTGATACAGCTGACCATCTTTGTCTCAGTGCCACATGCACGCTACCCGAAAACCTGAAGACTTTTTTTTCTCTTAAGTATTTTCAATGTGACATTTTGCATAAGGCAAGACAGCACTTCTGGTTTCACAACCCATTAAGCAGTATGGAAGCAGTACACAGAATGACATAAAGATTTCCATGAAAACACTCTAATTTGTATCCTATCCTCCAATTTGGGTGGTGAGATTAATCTAAGCACAGGAGTACTTCTCCAAGAGCAGGCACAGACACAAAAAAAGAAGGAATACTGTTAGATTATATACATAGTGAGGATCTCAAAAAGTCTTCAAGCACCCGGGTACTCTTTAATGATTATTAATTCTTGAACCCTTGTGAGAAGTAGAGACAACAAGCCAGTTAGAGATTAAGTACTTACCCCCCACCTCCCTCTGCAGGTTGGCAGCAGAGCTGAGAAAGAATCCCCTCTTTCCGAGATCAAAGCACCAGGAGACAGGCATTCTGGGAAGAAGTGGCAGCCACAAAAATGCAGGGAATTCTACCCTCATTTTTACAACAGTACCTGCCATTGCCACGTCCCCCTGTGTGCCTGGGCACCTGGCGTACTTCTGATTCTACTAGGGGCTTGCTAAGGTGGTGGACGGTGTTCTCATTTTACCAAGGAGAAAATCTAAGGCACAGAGAGGTGGGTGGGACTTGCTCAAGGCCACAGAGCTTATTAGAGGGAACTGCCGAGGACTCAAGGCCACTGCTCTCTGCTATCTACCTCCTGCTATATCTGCTTCCTCGTGAAGTACTTGTGCCATCTTGGACCTGCCTTTTTAGTACAGGGATGAGAGAGATCCACACTTCCAGAAAATCCAGTGTCAATTCTATGGGATAGGAGAAGCAGACACAGGACAGTAAAAACCGGGGCTGACAATGTCCATCCTGTAAGATGGGAATTAAGTGCAAAATATGTAGAGGTGCCAATGAATCTGAATCAGAAGCTGAGTACAACTGGGCTGCTTTTTCTTGGGTTAACCTTGCTAATAGGCCTCTGGGTTAGGCTGTGATGATTTCCAAGCTTCCTTCAGCTCTAACCCTCCACACTGCCACAGACCTGAAAATGCTGCACCAAAAAAAGAGGCCATCATAATCATTGTGCAATACATGCACATATCAAATCGTTAGGCCATACAACTTGAACTAATACAGTATATGTCGATTATATCTCAGTAAAAGTGGAAGAAAAAAAAGACAGCAGTATCTTAAGAACGAAAAAAAGGCCACCAAATCTAGGCCTTAATTCAAGTTCTTTGAAATACATTCCATCCTACATTATGGCTACTATCCAGCGCTCCAGCAGGATTTATATCATATACAAATATTTTTTCCACTGGATTATACCTCATCTCTTTTCCTAACCTAGTAAAACACAATATTGTTTTACTAGGAAGTGCCCAGTCTTTTAGTTTGTACTTCTCTTTAAAAAGATTTAGAGGCGCCTGGGTGGCTCAGACGGTTGAGCGTCTGACTTCAGCTCATGTCATGATCTCACAGCTCATGGGTTCGAGCCCCACGTCAGGCTCTGTGCTGATAGCCCAGAGCCTGGAGCCTGCTTCAGATTCTGTGTCTCCCCCTCTCTCTGCCCCTCCCCCACTTGTGTTCTGTCTCTGTCTCTCTCAAAAATAAACAGACATTAAAAAAAATTTTTTTTAAAGATTTAAAGTTATTCAGGAAGACAACTATGTCCACAGCGTATCAACAAGTGGCAAGCATCCCAGGGTCCCAACCTGACAGGTGTCAAATGCCTCCTGTGCACCCCTCATTTGTCCTTTCCTCTCTGCAGGGGGCCTTTGAGTTCCAGTCTTCCTGTTGATTCCATCACTACCTCATCATTTCTCCTCACCCTGGCCCCCTCATTCCCTTTCTAGGTGCTGTATGATGTGACCTTGCCCTACTGGGCTGAAACCCTAACAAATATGAAGCCCTTATTACAACGTGTCATTGTTTCAAACACAAACTTGTATGGATTCTCCTCCACATGACAGAGCACCTGCTACAAAAAAGGACTGTGGAATTACTAGGGTAAACAGGACAGAATTTAGTGCAGTCAGCAAAAAACTGAGTAACAGCTTTGGGGAAGAGGGAGAAAGCTGTAAGCAAGTAAGTATTTCCATGTCTGTTTATAAATGTGTCTGCAGGAGGGAGGCGAGCAGAAGGAAGGAAGCTAACACGTGTGGAGGGTGTTCTGAGGACCAGGGGCCCCACCTGACACTCGTTCCTACTGCATCTAAATCTCACAACTGCTGAGGGCAGGCACCTGAACACTCATGACAATCATGAGGCTTAAACTGTTTGTCCTAGGTCTTTGAGCTAGTCGGCAGAAGGGCTGGGATTGGGGTCAATGTGCCCAACTCTCTCCCACGCTGTATTTTTCTTTTCAGGTAAACACCACTGTGAGGGAGGAAAACTTAGTTTTGGATTCCAATGTACAGTCCGGTAAGGTTATTTACAAATGAGTTTTAGTCAATTCTTTTCACAGGACCTATTATCCTAAATCAAACGTTCTAAAGAGTAAACGAACGCAGTAATGACAATCACGGAGATAAGTTATCACCCCTTGTGCTCTGATGACAAAGTCTTACCATAAATGGCAGCAAGCATTTTACAGAAGATACAAACTGAACAGCATTAATAATGCAAACGTGCACAAGAATGAAGACTTGTGACAGGAAGCTAGACATCCAGCCGGACACAAGCGGAATGCATGAATGCCAGGTCGTGACAAGAAGCTGGACAGACATTTCATATTTACCGATTTCATACAGACAGACATGCTGGATCTCTCTCTGATCTATCGCAAGTTCCAAAGCAGTATGGAAAGAAGTCAAGGCACTGTTGATTTGACACTGAGGAAAGAATGAAAACAGAGTTACTGGCTAAGATCTGCTATGAACATTACAATCCTTTTCATTTCAATACGTCTTCTTCCGTAACAGTCATTTTAAACAGATTAAACAACAATTTAGAGATTTCTGGGGGCGCCTGGGTGACTCCGTCGGTTAAGCATCCAACTTCGGCTCTGGTCCTGATCTCACAGTTGGAGGGCTCGAGTCCCGCATCGGCCTCTCTGTGCTGACAGCTTGGAGCCTGGAGCCTGCTTCAGATTCTGTCTCCCTCTCTCTCTGCCTCTCCCTACTCATTCTCTCCTTTTCCCCCCGCCCTCAAAAACAAACATTAAAAAAAAAAAATTTAAGATTTCTGGAACATTCCAATTTGTCTCAGTTGTGAGATGAACCTGGCTAGGCACAAAACACTTCTTTTGCTCTGGCGGGAGATGCCCTCACTGAGGGCTTGCTCACGCCTTCTCCTACAGCATACTTTTCAGACCATACAAAGGACTTGCTCTACTGTAACTGCTAATCCAACCCCTGGTTACCAGAGGGGTTCTGCAAGGACAGGGTCTAGATTTCACCCTCCTGTGTATACAACAGGCATATGTTAGAGATAACTACAGGTTTGGTTTTACGCCCCCAGTACTGCAAATACTGCAACAATGCGGGTCAGAGGAATTTTCCGGTTTCCCAGTGCATACAAAAGTCACGTTCCTACTATACTGTTGTTTAAGTGTGCAATAGCATGATGCCCAAAAAACAGCGCACATATCTTAATTAAAAAATACTTTATTGCTAAAAAATGCTGGCTATCACCTGAGCTTTCGGCAAGTTGTAATCACAGATCACCATTAACAATAACAAAAAACTTCAAAATATTGCCAGGATTACCCAAATGTGACAGAGACATGAAGTGAGCAGATGTTGCTGGAAAAATGGCGCCAACAGACTTCACGGAGGGTTGCCACAAACCTTCAATTCGTAAAAAACCCCAGATCTGCAAAGCGCAATAAAGGACAACAAAAGGGAGTGTGTCTGGCCCCGCCCCAGGCCAGAAAGACCCCCATCGGTATTGAGTGACTGCGTGAAGCCTCCTTTAATCCTGCCCTCAGCTCGCTCTCCCTTCTGTGACCCACTCCGCCTGCCATACAGTCCTAGGTCAATTCTGTACCTAAAATGCTGTCTGATTGCTCCCGGTCATCATCTCTCCTCTACCAACACTCACTTCTGACTTTTGCATTCATCTAGTACTGTCCAGAGTCCAGCAGACTCTCCCAGGACTGTTCTCCCTCCTGATTAAATACATTTAGTGTTTCTTTCCACTAAAGAGCCCTTTCAAAGTCTGCCAACCTCATACCAGAGCACCTGATAAAAGCACCTAAAAAGCATCAACAGCATAAAAGAGTTCAAGTCAATCCTAAATACAGCAAAGACAGGTGTTAACAAATACAAATCCTAAATGCCCTACAAATTTGGCACAGCCCTGCTCTCAGGGGCCTTCCCTGCCCCTGCAGGTGTCATTCCATGCCCACTGCCCCACACTCAGCCCTCCCTGGGGTCCCCCTTTGTGTCTGTTCTGCTGATCCCTGGCCACCAACTTTTCGGGGTCCCTACTGCCTCTTCTCCCCACAGACAGCCAGGCAGGGGCAGGGAGGATCACAAATGAGAGGCTGCAGCATTTCGCGTATCTCGGCTCCTTTAGTGATGCACGGTCACTGCGGGAGGCCTCTTGGACACCCGCATGCCACACAGATGAGTCAGGGAGATCCTCAGGACAGCCAGTGACTCAGGAACATCGTAAGCCAAATGACTCACGGACCAAGGCCTCGGCTGAATCAATAACTATTCGCATCCCATAGTAACGCTTCACTGGGCCAGGACTATTCGGACTGTGGTGTTCAATCCCTTAGCACCATCTACGGAGGCGAAGAGAGGACACACATCCCCGTGCCAGTGACTCCTGACTCCAACATCTAGTTGGAGGTAACCTCTTAGGAATGTGAGACAGGCCCAACCCTGTCAGACATTCACACTGGATGTAAGCACATAGCCACCAAGGTCCCAAAGAGGCAAAATAATAATAATTATTTCCAAAAATTTTTAAAATCTTGTATGCAGTGTGCATGTGTGTTCGTGCACAGGACACTCATCACACCGCCCCTTTCCCCTTTCTGGATCAACACTTCTTTCCACGCATCACACACACACTCAATTTAGCCCGTTTGCACAAAACCGCAGTGCTAGCAATTCTGCTTTGCAGGCATCTCCTCAGTTTGCTAAATTCCTGAACCTCAATGGTCCCACACAAAATACTTCTGGATGAGCCACTGCCACCAAGCCGTCTCCAGCTGCATGACAATGCAATGCCACACTGCCCTTCAGAAGACCAAAAACTACTTGTGAACACTAATTACCGGGCAACTACTAAGTGCCTAGGATGGTACTGGCTTGAGGTACAAATCACAGCAAAGCTTTAAATGCAAGTGTAGGGGAGACAAAAAGAAAAAAAAACCATCTGAATGAACATTGTTTCTCTTAACCCTTTCAAAAATCTGAGATCGCCATGTATTCGGTTCCATTTTCAGATGGAGAAACGAAGGTTCCAAGAGGTGGAGTAGTTCGATCAAGGTCAACAAGCTAGCAGCAGACTAGTATTCGCTCTGCTGTGCCTGCCTCCAGAGTGAGCTTTCCTCAGGCAGGGCACATCCAGGCCCCGTTACATTAAAGGCCTTGAGATGGGGAGATTATCCTGGAGTATCGGGGTGGGCCTAAATGCAATCACAAGTGAGGGAAGCAGAGGGGAGGAGGCGACGTAATCACATCACCACAAAGGCACAGACTGGAGGCACAGCCACAAGCCCAAGAACCATCAGAGCCCACAAAAGGCAAGAAATGGACGGTCTTCTGGGCCTCCAGAGGGAGGGCAGCCCCGATCACTTTGATTTCAGCCAGTGAAACAGAGTCTGGACTTTGGACCTCCAGAGCTGTGTGAGAATAACGTCTGCTGTTTTAAGCCACCAAGCTTGTTACATGGCCTTAGAAAGTGAGTACAGGGTCTTACTTTCAAAATTAAACTGTGAAGAAAGTACCACTGATCCTTCCGTTTGTTAGAAGCGCTCTGACAGAACACGAGACCACTATGGAGCTTAGCGATACTATTCCAAGAATAAGCATAACTACAAAATTAATTCTAGTTCCGGCCTGAGTACTCATTAAGGAATTGCAATGAACAGACATTAAAATGGTGAAAACAGATTTCCCCTTTTTCACCAAAATAATTTAAAATAAAAATAATCCAATAGGGGTTTTCAGGATTATAAATTCTAATATTCACAACAGAGCAGAGAAAGGAGAATTATCCTCAATTTGATACTTGATTCACAGCCTAATTTTTTGAGGAAATACACATACGCTGGGCTCAAGAGAATACAGAAAACAGGCTAGCGTGAAATAGCCGTGAAGCCCAGAATCGGAGGTCAAGTACCACCTAGGCTTTTGTCTGGTGAATTACACACGGACACTGTATCACAAAAACTGCCTGAAAGTCTCCATTTCTTCACTGGTAAAATGAGGAAATAATGTTGGCAAGCATTATCTGCAAAAGCATGAGTCTTTGCCAAATTAAATGGAGCATACTTGCTGCCAAACTAAATTCAGCACAATGTGTAAGTACTGCTTTGTTACTACAGAGACACAGCGCGTTCTTCCAGCCATTCAGGACTTCTTTCTGGATGGCTGTACTCCTAGGCAGTTTATGATACTTGCGGCGACTGTCAAAGGGCTTTGTTCCTCCATATATTCTGCGAGTGAATGCTGCCGGTATGGAGGAAAACTCTGGATGTTTGCAGGATGATTTTGCATATGTCACATTATTATACTCATGGATCCTCATGATTGTTTTAGCTTTTTCTCTTGGATCTGGGGAGATATTCAAATCATTTGCAAATAATGACAGTGTTGTCTCTTCCTCTACAAGAGACTTAATTGGAGAGAACCACCAGTTAAGATGCTATTAGCAAGCACAGCACGCATCGCTTTATTCCCATCTTTAATGAGGATGTTCTAACTTGCAAAATTAAATATAGCTTGAGGCACGTTTTTAGTAGATGCCATCTTTACCAAATAAAGAAAAACCCTTTCTATTTCTAATTTGCTAATAGTTTCTTGGTTTTTGTTTTTGTTTGTTTTTTTTTTTACGTGGATTTCATTAAATGCTATTTGGGCCTCTACTGATGGGACTGTGCGGTTTTACCAATTACCTCCTTAATGCAGGTCATAACAGGAACACATTTCCTGAGGCTGAACGACGCTGGCCTTTCTGAAATAAGCCCTACTAAGGTCATAATACAGCATATCAAAAATACATTGTTGGATCTAACTTACTAATATTTATTTAGAGCTTCTATGTTCAGAATGAAGTTGACCTATAGGTTTTTGTTCAGTGCTCTCCTCTAGGAGTTTTGGTATCAGGATCATACCAGAACTAGCAGACTTGTAGAAAATATTTTCATATTTTCTATGCTCTGGAACTATAAATAACTAGTTCACTACAAAGCCACGTCTTTCAATTGAATAATTCATTTAAAATGTTTAAAATACCATAACTTGAATTTTTTTCCTTTAATGGAGACACGACATAACAGAGAATATTAAAATTTAGTCAATAGTACCAGATTTCAGCGCCAACTTCACAAACAACACAGTTTTGGGCCTTGAGAAAAAAATTATAATTTTCAGGAGATCTTGAAATAAATGAATTAACGCACACACAATGCTCTTGGGAAAGGGTACATTGCCTTTAAAAACAGGTGTATGTCATGGGGCACCTGGATGGCTCAGTCGGTTTAGCAGCCGACTTCAGCTCAGGTCATGATCTCACGGTTTGTGAGTTTGAGCCCCACATCGGGATCTGTGCTAACAGCTCAGAGCCTGGAGCCTGCTTTGGATTCTGTGTCTCCCTCGCTCTCTGCCCTTCCCCTGCTCACGCACTCTCTCTCAAAAATAATAAACTTTAA